GCTATGGACAGTTGCAACAGCAGGGAGTTATTTCTATCATCTATATGCAGTACCAGCCATTCTGGGTTCAGGAAGTTGCAGAAGCACCAGAAGAAAAGATGCACAAACAGCACTATGGGTGAAAACAAGTACAGGAGATCATGGTGGGAAATTCAGATATGGATAACATTGGAGTCTTATTCTATGAGGATGTAGAGTTGTTGTTACCACAGGATAGGGGAGCTTAGACAAAAGATTCTGCCGTGAAGCTCATAACAGTCTCCCATTACACAATGCATCCATAGTTTATCCCATAAAAATGTATCAAGATTGAAAAAAGGCTATTGGTGGCCGTGGCATGAGAAAGATAGCGGGAATGTTGTAACAAGATGTTTAACATGTCAACAAGGGAAAGCAGAACAATTCAGATTGCCAGCTGGGTTTGCTTCATCCAATAACATCCAACATGAAATTGGGATCAGATTACGATGGATTGTTACTGGAGGTTAACCTCAGACGCAGCGGAAGCATGATGCAGTTATGGGTAATGTAGACAGATTAACTAAATTCTGCACACTTTCTACCAGTTAATGGACTATTCTCTGACAAGTTAGCAGAAATTTATGTTAGAGAAATAGTTCGACTACATGGAGTTCCATTCATCCATTATATCTGATCGTGATCCAGGTTAACTTCGAAATTTTGGGGTAAACTGCAGTAAAATAACCGAAAATTTGCATTTCAGCCTGCATTTCTCCTCAAAACAGATGCCAATCAGAAGAGAGTCATTCAAATTCTGGAAGACATGATGAGATCAGTGTTCAAGGAATTTGAAAGGCAGTTGACAATAAAGTACCTTCTATGGAATTGCTACAGACAACAGCTATCAATCGAGCTAAGGATGGCCACCATATGAAGCGTTAGGCGGACACCTGTGGTTGTTGGCAGAACTGAGTGAGAAGAATAAATGGGTCCAGATTTGGTTAGAGAACTAATAGAGAAGTGGAATACATCAGAAAACGGTAATAATGAAGCAAGTGATCGACAGATGTCCTATGCCGATTTAAAGAGAAAGTATGAGTACTCGGTTGGTGAAAAGTACTAAAGTTCACCATGGAAAAAGATCCTAAAGGTTGACGAAAGGGTAAGCTTAGCCCCTAGGTCATTGGTCCATACGAGATGTCGAACGTGTAGGACCATTAGCCTATCGCCTAGCGTTACCTTCGACCTTAGATCGAATTCATAATGTCTTTCACGTATTCCATGTTAATTGAAGATACAGATTCAGACCCATCACATTTATCAGCAGAGAGATTGAATACATCCTATATCTTCACTTATGAAGAAGAACCAGTTCAGATCTTAGCTAGGAACAATTAAAGAATTACGGAACAAGAATAATAGCATTTGGGTAAAAGTTCTTTGGAGGAATCATAAGTACAGAAGAGAGCCAACTTGGGAATCTAAAGAACCATGCGACAGCAGTATCACAATTATTCACACCAGGTTAAACTTCGGTGACGATAGTTTTTATTTAGGAGGGCAGAATTGTGATATCATCCTACCGAGTCGAGTCGAGTTGAGTCGAGTTGAACCAAACCCGGTTGGGGTAGAAAGGGTTTATAAGTGGACTTACTTGAGTGAAACAAAAAGATCAAAGTATAAAGAGTAGGACTTACTTGCACTAAAAAAAAATAAAGTTGAGGTATTAAAATGTAACATGTAGAAACTGTAGGTCTTATTTGGTAATTGTACCATACAATTAAGAGATAGTTGGGAAGTATTCGAGACTTCCATTTCAATTTGCTTTCTTCATTTTCTTCATCTTCATCTTCAACGTCTTCTTTATCTTCATCTTCTTCATCTCCTTCCTTTCCTTTCCTTTCTCCATCCATTTTCATGGTAGTTAGTTAAGCATTAAGGCAACCTCATTTCTCCAAGTAAGGTAGAATATTCTTGAAAGCTTTATGTTATTCAACCTCTAATTGAGTTATTTGTAGATAAGTTATAAGAATTCGATGTGTATAGAAGAGAAGGAGTTCAAAGGTAGTAGAAAAAGGAACTAAAGAGAGCTCAAGCTTTTGGGAGTAAGGTTTGATATCTCTTGTTCATTACTATTTTCTTTGCATGAGAATTTGTTGTGGTGTGTTGCGATGTGTTGAAATGAGGAGATATGTGGTTTAATGTTGAGAAAGATGACTGAAAATGGTGGAAAAGCATGAGATGAAATGAATAAATGAAGTAGAGATGGAGTTCATGCTGAAACGGGTTTTGCTGGAAAAGTAACTAGTAACTTCACCTTGATGACCTCATTTAATGATGGAATTAGGAAGTGTCATAGAAGCGTTATTTGTTCCTCTATGTGTTAGCTTTACATGGGTTTTTGAATCATCCAAATCGGAGTCGTAAATTGAGAGATATGACCAAAAGAGTACAGACTATGCAGGCTGGAAAACGCGAAGCGCGCGTGCGAATCGCATGACGAGCTCTCGTTGCCTTCTCGCGCTCGCGATTTTCAAATGCGCGCTCGCGACTTTCACCGAAAACTCTCTGACTCTCATTTGGCACTTCTCGCGATCGCGACTTTGAAGTACGCGCTCGCGTACTTGGCCCTTGGCCTGTAGCGTGCTCGCGACTTGTGTTTCATGCACTTTTTGGATTCATTTTCAATGCAATTGTGTTCCTTTGCTTAACTTATATGCCTCCAATCATTTTAACACCAAATACAACATTGAAACATGTATTAAAACAACATGCAAGCATGCAAATGATGTTGAAATAAATAAACATTATGATTTTATGAAGTATGAGCTATTAATATGATGTTGTGTGTATACTATTGTCATACCACATTATGTCCATTGAGGTTAGGTAGAAACCATGTAGATAAGGCTATGTCGTGACATATGTCGTGACATAGGATAGCAGATCTGCACCCCATACAGTTCGATACTCCGGCTACAAGCCGTTGAGTGGATATGATTATATATGGGCCATAGCAGCCAATCATACAGTATTCATCCAGTTTCATATAGTTTTTCCTTATCACTTCGGTTTCACTATAACCTTATGGAGCCATACTAATATCTTGACATAACATGGCATGAATCCTACAGTATTATAAAGATCATCAAGGTATAATGAAGGTATCATGACATGTGTGCTTATATGTGCCATATGTGTTTACATGGTTCTTTCTACACATGTATGTGCTAAATTGTTTCTTTGTTTCTTTTTATGTGAGATATCCACTGAGCTTTAATTTGCTCAGCGGTTACCTGTTTAACTCGGCAGGTTTTGGAATGGACCATTAGAGAGTCAGCTTACAACTGCCCTGCAGTTCATCTTTAGAAAGCGACTCGTTCTTCAGGGTAGCTAACTCATTTTAATCATTTTAATGTGTACCTTTTGTCTCTCCTTTTTATGGCATGTACAGGGCACTCAGTTGGGCCCATTCCATTTTGTAAACTAGTATCATGTCTTGTCAACATTAATACATTATTAATGTAAACAACATCAGCATGTGATTATATTCAATAGACATTATGAGTTCAGCATGACAGGACATTAAGTCAACCAGTTTGTAGCATCTCGACTCGGTTTATTCGGGTTTACGGGTGGACCGGGAATGGATGTTACAGAAAAAAAAACTATATATTTTTATGTCAACTTTTGTAATTTCAAGGATCTGTATTTGTACATATATTTATTTTTTTATTGCATGAAGTAATACCGTTACTATAGTCAAAGTGATTATTAATATAGACTCATGTTATTTTTAAACAATTCAAATCACTTTTTCATTTTTTTTTCTTTAACTAGCTATAAGAAATAATTTTTATTTTTTACTTTTTCATAAGAAATATATATAGATATTGATTTAAGGTTGGAGACAGAAGGTTGGGGACAGGAGATTGGAGATTGGGTGATGACTTGATTTCCTTTTTTGGGCATCTTTAAGGTTTCTAAGGGAATCATTATTCATGAATTAGTTGCCGAAAATAGGTTTAGGAGTTTGAATTGAACTTTATTTTTGGAGACCGTTTCACTATGTAAACATAAAATAAAGTATATAATTAAGGCAAAGAGTAACGTTAAATTGACCTATTACTTTTTTTTAATCTAAATAAAAACTATTGATATAGTATTATAAAAATAAAAACTAAATGAGGATTGAAGAACAGTATAGTAATATGCAATACATGTCATTAAAACAAACTAGTTACATAAACACATACATAAAATTGATATCTTTCTATCCTTACAATACTGAAAAACTAAATATTTATAAGTTTAAGAAAACTCTAAAACTAAATGAACACATAATGTCTAATTTAAAACAGGCCCAATTATTTTAATTAAAAATATAAAACTAAAGTAAAAAAGATTCAAACCCCACATGTTTAGATCATGTTAATTAACCTTTTGGATTTTCCTTTCAAGCCCTTGGATTTTCTTTCAAGCCCTTCTCTTCACTTAGGAATTTGTAGATCCTCGTAACCAATATGTGCTCATTACTTGACACACATCACATCTTCACGAAGTCGCTACCATCTTCTTTCTTTTCTTGTTGTGTATAGAAATTATTTATTTATATTGTATTTTGTTTTTGAGCTTCATATTTTTCAGTTGTAATGAGCCTTCTAATTAGATAGCTAAGCAAAATGTAAGTAAACCATTTTTTCTGTCTAATTGAAATCTTTTTGAAGAGTTCTTGTTAGTAATTTGCCTTTAGTATTTGACTAAGTTTTGACAGTTTTTTGTTTTTGAATAAGTCTTTAAGCATGATTTACTTGTAGCTTAATTATAGGAGAATAGTTCAGATTTTTTCCAGATTATTTGCAGTAGTTGTTAAGTAGTGATGTTTCTTTTCTTCTATAAATATTCAGCAGTAAATATAAGAAGTTGTGTGCTTCTAAGTCCAGTATATTCCAGTTTCTAAATCATTCTTCATATAGCTTCATATCAGATTTTTACTACAAATTGGTATCAAGAGCTATTATCTTGAGGGACCTGTGAAAATGGAGAGTGATATACAATCAGTTTTCAGCCATCATGCTGCTCCACCTGTTTTTGATGGCCAAAATTATCAAGCATGGGCTGTTAGAATGACGGTTTATCTTGATGCTATGGATCTTTGGGAGGTTGTAGAAGACGATTACGTCGTTCAACCATTGCCTGCAAATCCAATGGTGGCACAGATAAAAATTCACAAGGAGAGAAAGACAAGGAAGTCAAAAGCCATCTCTTGTCTTTACTCTGCAGTTTCAAGTACCATTTTTACCAGGATCATGAATCTGAATTCAGCCAAAGCCATATGGGATTATCTCAAAAATGAGTACCAAGGTAATGAAAGAACCAAGAGCATGCAAATTCTCAACTTGATTAGAGAATTTGAGATGGTAAAGATGAAGGAGTCGGAAACAATTAATAAAGATGAAGGAGTCGGAAACAATTAAAGATTATTCGGACAAGTTACTGGGCATTGTCAACAAAGTAAGGCTACTAGGTAAGGATTTTTCTGATGACAGAATTATCCAAAAAATTCTTGTCACTCTTCCTGAGAAATATGACTCAAAAATCTCTTCACTAGAAGAGTCTAAGGATCTGTCAAGCATATCCTTGGCAGAGTTGGTTAATGCTTTGCAGGCTCAGGAGCAAAGAAGAATAATGAGAAAAGAAGGAACTGTGGAGGATGCTTTGAAGGCCAAATCTGAAAGTTCAGGAGGCAAAGACAAGAAATTCATGGAGAAATGAGAAATATAAAAGCAGCAAGTCCAGTGTTGCGTCTCTTTTGAGTTCCCACAAGTATACAGATCGCAACGTAGTAATAAAATATCGATCCCACGAGGAACTGGTTAAGTTCACTTTCTACTTTACTCTTATTGATATGTTTACAGAAATATGAATATAGAATAGCTTTGTTTAATTTCTAGTTATGCTAAATCTAATTATTAATTAACTCTAGAGATAAGTGTGTAGTAAGATACTTAGAATAATTAATCATACACAGCACAGGGATTTTCCCCTTAAATGCAAACAGCTGTTAAACATACAGTAAATAATCTTTAATTACATATGATAAGATTATAACTTCAACCTCTCAGTATAGAGTTTCTTATCTATTATATGTTTTCTACTTATTAATAAAATACCTTATCTTGTTAAATATTAAACCTAAATACTTATTCTTTGATTATTTCAATAACGACAAATTTAACTTTAACAGGAAATAGAGTGAAAAATATGCATATGTAAATTTCAACTTAAGTGAATTAAACTCTCTTTGATCTTTACTAAAAAACTATTCTTTCTGAGAATATTAATTCAATGTAACCTTGATTAAATAAAGATCAAAAGATAACTTAAGGAATTTTTATTGAATTGCTACCAACTTAAATATGTTGCTTTGCATAGAAGAGTATTGAAAGAATCAACATACAAACAAGCTATTAAAACAAGAGAAAGAAGTAATCTAACTCAGCCTCCGGAGGCGCACACCTCGAGGAAACTTCTTGATGTTCTTTGGCACAATCAATAAACAAGTTGACTCACGTCAACTTGTTCTAAGTATTACTATCATACTTCTCTTAATACAATTCATTAAGTTTTCTCTGTTTTCTGAATCTAACTCTGAATATGAATTGAAGAATTTTCTTTTCTTTCATTTGGATTGCTATTTATTTGAGGAGGAGAGTGATGGAGGTTTTGGTTGGTGATTGGTTGGCCCAAAAAGGCTTGAGGTGACTTCTCTTGGGAAGAGTCCCGACCCATGCATGCGAAAAGATATGTATTTCTGAATTGAAAAGACAAGCAATTACGTCTCCTGCGAAATCTCACTCGCGCTACGCGAGGTTGATGGGTCGCGCTCGCGACTTTTGCTTCAAAATGTCCTCTGCCATAACTGGGAGTGCTTCTCGGCCACCTCGCGGCATGTTGGATGTTCGCGCTCGGCGAAATATTGCTGCAAACCTTTCTGACTCTCAGGAGTACTCTCAGGAGTGCTTCTCGCGCTCGCGCATGTGGATGTCGCGCTCGCGACTTGTGCTTTTCTTTTCCTGCTGAGTCTTCTAGGTGTAAGTTGTGCGCGCGACTTTGGCAATTTTTCTTGTTGCGACCTGCTTCGCGTCGCGAAGGCTGTTTCAGGAACTTCTTCTATTTTTAATCAATTTTGTTTTGATCTCAGTGTACAAAGCAAGCTTTTTCATTCCTTTGCTCCAATTGTGTTCCTAAAATTACTTTGAAACAAAAACAACACGAACAAACGTATAATATATAAAAACATCATGCATTCATGCAATTTATATGAAAATAACATAACAAAGTTTGCCCGCTTTGCGAGGCTATCAATTCCCCCACACTTAGCTTGCTTAGTCCCTAAGCAAAAATATTCTTCCTTCTTTTTGAACTTCATGTTGATCAAATGTTTATTTTGTTGATCATGTTTATTTTTACTTGTTGATTTAGATTTCTTAAGTAATCTACCAAAGACAAGAGATTGATGTATTTATGAACTAAGTAGTATAAATGCATATGAAATGAAAACTTTTCAATATAGCACATAAAAATCTGAAGTATAAGAAATCTAGTCATTTTTAAAATATGAGATAGGCAATCCTCCATCCTTAGAATGCAAAATAGGAAGTACTTAAGGTAGCATACATGTATTGTTTCTTGTCTTAAGGCATTTTTAGGTAATCTATTTTCTATCTCACTAAGTGGTTGCATTTTATGCTCCATACCACTTCATTGTTTTATATATATGTATTTTTTCTTTTCTTTTGTGGCTGCATTTTATGCTCCATACCACATTTTTCTTTTGCTATCATTTTTATTCAAGATATGTGGGAATATAAATGGTAAGTGGTTGCATTTTATGCTCCATACCACCACTTCTCACTTTTTATATTTCTTTTGTGGTTCCATTTTATGCTCCATACCACATTTTTCTTTTGCTACCATTTTTTTTTTTTTTGCTTTAGGAACGGATTTCCATATTCCCTCTAATTTGTATATTTTTCTCTCTTGAAATACCTTCATCGTTTATTGACTTGAAACATACAAGTATTTAATTTCCCTTTTCTTCCTATTCTTCATCAAAGTTAGGATTCAAGCCTTCTCTAAAACAAAAGAGAAATGTCTAGATAGTTAAAACTAAAGATTAAAATTTGTATTGGGAAAAATTTCAATATGTCATTATGTAATATATTTAATACTTAAGTTCATATAAGCAATTTAAATCTCTTTAATCATTGGTTATATTATTCAAGACTTCTATTTCAATAAGCATAAACAAGCAAAATACAAACAAATCAACATGTAGAGACTAAAAACATTGAACTAAGGCAAAGAAGTTGACTTTTTTAATTGTCACATTTTTTTTTATATATATATGAAATGAAATAAAAATGAACGGAGATAATAAAAATGACAATGACAATGAACAGAAATCTTGTAAGTGTCCCCCACACTTTAAAAGACACAATGCCCTCATTGTGGGGGAAGAAATGCAAAGATAACACATCACATGCATAAACACACAACAATACTGAAAAATAAAATAAAAACTAAAAAGGGATAGAAAAACCTTAGGCCTCCGGAAAACCCGGAGGTGATGGAGTGAACTCGATGTTTTGATGGTGGAAATATTTCATCCACTTCCATTCCATCCGTTCGTGGTTTTTCTGGATTGTATGCAGTTTTTGTCGCTGTAATGTTTCCACTTTACCCAACACTTGCTTCCATCCAGCGACTTCATCTTCTTCTTCTTCTGCGTGAGAAGATGATGTGACTGGTGCTTTGCCTTTCTGCTGTCGTTGCGTTTGTGCATCAGAAGTTCCTTCATCGCGATCGCTGTGCCGACTCTTCTTTCCCATGGCTTCCAACGATAGAGTACTATGGTGCCGGTTTTCACTTCCTCAACTAAACCTGTCTTTTTCAAGAATGCGCCATCCATATACTGAAAAATGTCTGTAGGCTGGGGCTGATAGGGTGGAATAGGCATACGAGCAGCATATGCCAAGATAGGTGCCATGCTACCAACTCCTGAAGTAACCTTGCCTTGATGACGAGAGGCGTTGTATATTGTATCGAGAACCATGCCTGCAACATCCACTCGTTTTCCCTGCAAAATAGATTCCAACACAAACAAGTCTCTTGTTTGGACTTTGGAGGCTTCCACTCGTCCAAACACAGCATAACACAAATATTTATGTAGGTATAAAATACTCTCATCCTTAATCAATTTGTTTCCAGCATTTTGAGGAGTAAAAGACAATTGACCCGTTAGCATTTACCAAACGGAAGTCGCATTCCAAACTTTTGGTTTAGAAGCAAATCCATTTCTGGTAGAAGCAAATCCATTTCTGGGGGAAATCCTAACCATGTTGGTACATATCCATAATCCACAGTTAATTCCCTCTCCATCCACTCTAAAATTTTGATGGCCAATTCAAGTGTCATCTACCCAACAATGGTAGTCAAATAACTTCTAAACTTAATTTAGCATTTTCAGGAAATTTGTAATTGGACTAATATTCAAAAGTTCAGAGTTTCAAATATTTCTTACCACTTTCTCTAAAATGGCCAGTATTTCTGTAAAAAGTGGTCCAAGATACATACCTGCTTGAAACTGCATTTTGGCAAGCGGGTGAAACGTTTCCTTCCTGCCTGTATATTTATAGGGAAAGCGAGCCTTATACCTTATACCTGGAGGCCAAATCCCTTCGTGCTGGTGCAGAGGAGGAAGATCCTTCCTTGTTCTTCTTGGCTTTTTGTTTGAATGGCATTGTGAGAGTTTGGATCGAGATTTTTCGTTCAAGATACAAAGAAAAGGGGGTTGCTGGGAATTGGTTTTGCACTGATAGAGTTTGGGGTTTGTAAAGAGGGGAATGGAAACTCTTATATAGATGAATTTAGGGAAAGATGGGGTTGAGTAGTTAATGGGGAAGTTGAAAAGGAAGAGTTTTGATTGGATTTGAGAGATTATTTGCAGTTTTTGCAGGTTTGAATACCTTGGGAAGGAGAAGAATTGAATTTGAATGTGAGAGGGCAGTTGAAAGTTCTGACCGTTGGAAAGTCGCGCCAGTAATTGCTGGTGTCGCACCAGTAATTTGCTGGAGTCGCGATCGCGTCTGCAATTCGCGGCTCGTGAATGGTTGTCTCCGTGCTTCTGACCTCTATTGTACCGTAATCGCGCCCGTGCTTGATATGATTGCGATCGCGAAAGTGGATCTCAACACTTCTGACTTGTTTTGCAGAGAACTCGCGCTCGCGCTTTATATTGTCGCGATCGCGAGAGAGAATCTTAAAGCTTCTGACTGTCTTTGTGGAGAATTCGCGCTCGCGCTTTATTTTGTCGCGACCGCGATTGTTGGTTAAAAACCTTCTGTCTCTTTTTTGCAACGATCGCGCTCGCGAATTTGGTTCCCTGCAAAAATAAATTTCCTGCACACTTGACTTTTGATGAGTTCCCTTTTTTTTGCACACTTGACTTTTTGATGAGTTTCCCTTTTTTTTTTTTTTTTTTTTAAAAGATAATAAGAGATAGTAAATTATAATAAAACAAAGTATATTAATTATTTATTTGATATAATACATACTTATCTGTGCCGATATCCAAAATGTTACTTGTGGTGGCATCATTAATTTTATTCCAACCCAAATTAAAGCTTACACCTTTGTCCATTGACCATAAATGTGGATCCATTAGATAGATTTTCAATTCTAATGCTCCCATGATCTGAACGCTTTGAAAT